TGCTCATATTATTTCCTGGTAATGTTAATTTTTGATGGATTTCTCATCTTTGCTATTTGAACTTTGACTGGCTAACAGGAAATTAGCAAGCTATCAGATTCCTCTGATCTTTGAGCCCATCGGAAGTTGATCGGATGTTTGCAGCAGGTGAGCTGATGGGTTTGACCTCAGAGCTTGTGATCAAAATAAACTGCCGACCTAACCAAAAGCCATTCTGTTAAAGAGCCACATAATTGTTCAATAGGTTTGAATGGGTAAGCTTCAGCTGATAATTCGACCCCTGATAATCTGAACCTGACATCATTGTCACCAGTCAATACTAAATAAAGGCTAGTTCTCATTTGCTCCATTAGCTCAGGTAGGTATGGTTTATCTGTTAGTTTGTTAGCTGGATCACCTGATATGTTGTTGTCAGATTTGCATAAAAATACTATTTATGTGAAAGGTTGGCTCATATTTTAGTAATCACATGCTGAACTGACACGAGAAGCTGTTTCCTTTCAGATCAACTCTTCTATGGATTTTTGACTTTCTGAGTTTTCTGTTATTTCTGTTTGACACATGGCTAAAAACAGTTTATATGAACCTCAGTGTAAATGCTGAATAAGCAGAGGTTAAACTGATGGACTGAACTGACCACTAGTCGTCTCTCCACAGGTATCTGGGGATCTGTCATCCAATGAGGACCATCACACTGGAAAGTAAGCGGGTGGTGAAGGGGATCTGCGCATTAGTTTGGGTGGTGGTCTTCATTCTCACCTGCCCCATCTTCAGGTTCGCCCAGACCGGATATGTGAGGCGTAGAGCTGGTGAGGCTGTTGAGCCTGGAGAAGGGAGCGATTATGGGAACAGAACTGGAGACCAGGTCGGCGAGGAGTACATAAACTGCTGGGATGATGCCATAGATAAGGAGTTTGCAGACTACGTCCCATATGGCATTGTTCTCCACCTTCTAGGTTTCTTTGTGCCCTTTGTCATCATTGCCTGGTGCTACTCCCATGTGGTCCGGACAATATTTCAGACCCTGCGCTCTCCTCCCAGTTCAATAGAGGGTGGCGAGGATGGACCAGTGGGTGACGGGTCTGTGGAAGGAGTTCGAGGGCGCGAGAGAACCTCCGTCTCTATTTCTGGCTCACAGTACTCACACTACATCCGCCGGCGGCGGAAATCCATTAAAACCATTGTCACTATCACACTGCTGTTTGCACTCTGCTTCCTACCCTTCCATGTGACTCGCACGCTCTTCCTGCTCCTGCGGCGGGGACAGCTCGGCGGCTGCAATGCCATGAAGACCGTCTCCATCTGCTACAAGGTCACCAGACCTTTGGCCTCCTGCAATGCATGGCTCAATGCTCTGCTCTACTTCCTCACGGGCGATAAAGGTGGCCCCAGCTGCTGGCCAGCCGAACGCACCGTCCATCGAGACCGCCGGAACGGCTCCCTCTGGTGGCCGCTGAAGATCCTCAAAAGAGATGGAGTGGGAGAAGACGATCACGAGGTGGCCGAGAGGGTTGAAAGGGAGGTGCACATAGAGAACGAGTCCAAGTCCTCCAGAGTTATCTTCTAGGA